GTCTACTACAGCTGGACTCTGAAAGCACTCATCATGATTTTCTTTCTATTGAAAAGAGAGTACTATTTAAATTAGGAGATCCTTTTCATGATTCATCACATGTAAATTGGGTTTAAGTCCCTGTAATCTAGAGGGTAGTAAATTTAGAAAACAAAGCAGCACTTTGAAGGTGATTGTATAAGGTGATGACATGAGTGTTCCATGGATAAGGGGAAGGTTTTCATTGTGGATATGAGAGAGAGAACAGCCAGAAGTATCTGGAAGAGTCCAGAGCAGAAAAAAGAAATAGATTGAAAATGGTCAGGAAACTGGACCCAACCATGAGAGAAGCAGGAGGAGACAAGAGAGGGGAGGAGAGAAAACTGGGGAAAGCAAGAGATGAAGACAAAGAGTAGCCCAAAGAAGGAGCATAGCCAAAACAGCAGGGCTATAAGAAGCTTGAGTAGCTGGGGAAGGAAGCCTGGAGCTGGGCAAGTTTAAGGTAGTCAAGGAGGTGAGAAGAGCTAAGATGCTAGTGTGGGCTTTGAAATGCATAATAGATACTTGTGATACTAAGGGAGATTGAAGTCCACATGCAGTTTGGTATGCAAATAGGCACCATAGGGTAGTAGCCATTTGTACCTTCTGCCAGTGAAAAGGGAAATGGTTCCTTTTGGTAAAGGGGAATCAGAGTCACACATTCCTGAGGAATGCTGGCTTTTTTTTCTACCTCCAGAATATGAGGGAATGGAGTTTTCTTTGGACTTGACAATGACCATGTGAAGTTGTTTCTTTTTGTTAACTTTGAAAGACCCCAAGAGTTTGGAGCCTGTCAGGGGGAAGGCCCTTGCCCCCAAGAGACAAGACGGGACCACTGGATGCAAGTGTAAGAGGTTATTTATTGTTTACACACAGGTACCTATGGACGCCCTAGTCTTTCCAGAGATGGAGAGAGCGTGCCTGGTTAAAGCATATGCAGTTTATATAAGGTTGGTGTAGCAAGAAGCAGGCTTACAGAAGCAGAAGCATGGTTACAGGGACTTCATTGTTTCATCTAATGTAGCAGTTGTAGTTAACCAAGGACAGTTGGTTATTCGGGTTGGGCACAAAGAATACAAAGAATTCAATTATGACTCTCTCAGCATCCTGGATACCGTCCTGCTGACCTTGCTTTGGTCCAAGCTGCAGACCACAGATATCTGGTTGGCGTTGGATGAGAGCAGCACCTGGTTCCCTCCTGTACTTTTCTCATAACTTGACCTTGGCAAATTAGCAAGAGCAGTTTAAACAGGCAATAAGCATAGTGGAGGTCTTTCACCAGCACTTGGAGTGACACTCCTTTAATCCCAGCACTAAGGAGGTAGAGGCAGGAAGGGATATGGATGGGCAGAGAGGAATGTAAGACTGGAGGACACAAGTAAGAGATGTAGTCTGAGGATTCATAGAGACAGATTCAGTCTAGGCAGTCAGTCTGAGGATGCAGTCTGAAGATTTTCTGGAGACAGGATCACCTATTTGGTTTGAGATAGGGGTAAGAGCTAGTGGCTGGCTGATTTGCTTCTCTGATATTTCAGCCTACTCCCTCCTCCTAATATCTGACTCTGGGTTTTTATTATTAAGACTTATTGGAACTCATACTACATCTGGAACCCAGCTTTGGGAGTAGCCTGGAACTACCTGTGGTTGGAGTCACTGCTCACTGGCTAGGTTTTCCTTTCTTCTCTCCTGCTGGGCTTTCCCTGGACCCCCTCCTTGAGCTGCTGCCAAAGGTAGATACCTTGAAATCCAGTCAGGCTTATACTGTTCTACTAGAGAGCAGTCAGCCTCATATCTTCATCATCATCATTGACATATTTGTTGAGAAAATTGGGAATTCTTAAAGGGAGAAGATAGTTAAAAGAGAGAATTTTTTCCATGTTAAAAAATGGGAAACACAGCGGGGTATTGGTGTGACATGCCTTTAATCCCAGCATCTGGGAAGCAGAGGCAGGTGGATCTCTGTGAGTTCAAGTCCAGCCTGGTCTGCAGAGCTAGTTCCAGGACAGGTTCCAAAGCAATACAGAAACCTTGTCTCGAAACAACACCCCCTCCCCCCACCTCACCCCCCCAACCCTGCGCCAAAAATTGGGAAACATTATTATAATGGAGAAAGCTAGGTCTCTGTATGATTACACAATGGATGGTTTAAAATTAAAAATGATGGTTTAAAATTACAACAATTAAATGGATAATCAAGTTAACTGGGAATGACATACTGTTAATTATCATTTTGATAATCCTTGTTGTTTTGGTAATTCTTGGTTTATCTCTTAAAAAGTTGTTTGGTATGAAAGCCAAGACACAGGCCTTAGAAAAAACTTAAATTTAATTATAGCGATATTTGAATCCAAAGAGAGGAATTTAAAGAAGAACCAATCTCAACATTACATTATAAGGTTAGAGAGGAACAGCCTAAGGTTTTCAAATAACCAACATTAATATATTCAGTAATCTTTAGGAATTGTTAAATGGTAGAGGCTCTGTAAGAGCTGATTGGACTCCTGTGGCAATGTTAGATTAAAGAGATTCAAGGAAGTGATAGTCTCATATGGCATGCATTCCCTTTTGTGAAGCAGATGTTAAACTTATGGTCAACTTGTAATTTATCCCTAAAGACTGGAAAGGCTTGGGTAATGTTCTTATAGACCTGGTCCACAATTATATTGGAGGACCTGGTTCAATTAAGACTATTGAACCATGTGTAGATCTAGACGTATAGAAATCTCCCAAGATCACCTTCTTAGAGAAGAAGATTATGCTACTATAGAGAAGCAATCTCTATATGATGGCCACACCCTTGCTTTATGCCATTTAGCACTTTTGAATGCTTGGAACAGATTTGAAGAATAGGAAAGAAGATTAAGTCATTTATTAAAGTCTTACAGGGCCTGAAAGAAATCTTTACTGATTTCTTACAAAAATTGACATCAGCAGTAAGTAGAATGATACCAAATTTAGAAGCTAGACAAATAATAACTGAATCTCTGGCTTTTGAAAATGCTAATTCTCAATGCAAAAGGATAATTGGGCCTTTAAAGGTAAGGTCAGTACCTTTGAAAGAATGGAGCTGAGATAAAATCAATATTGAATCCCATGACCATAATGATGCTTGGATAGGAGAGTTAATTTCCAGAGATTTGAAGAAAAATGGAAATGTCAAGTTTCAATTGTGGCAAACAAGGTCAACTTAAAAGGGATTGTAAACAAGCCTTTCTAGATTATGCAGAAGGTATGGCAAAGGCAGGCACTGGTCATTCAAGGTAACCCTTTGTTGCTGGAAAACTCCTTGAGTGTCCTCTTGCAGGTCCCTATGACAGATTTGATTCAGTCACTTCCTGTCATTGTGGAGGGAATTCCTCCCTATAGCAATTGAAGAGCTTAATTCCTATTGTAAGAAATTGATACTGAGAACAATTGATGGAGAGAACAAAAAATTCAGGAAAAATCATCAAGTGATTATTTTGGCAAACATATAAATGAGCAAAGACCAAAATTAAAAGTACAAAAATTTGACATTATCATTGAAAGTCTGGTAGACACTGGTGTGGGTGTAATAATAATTTTACTGTCCTGGGAAAACAGCATAGGACCAACCCAGACCCTCTGAAAGTGGGTGTCAGTTAGGAGGCCTGGGCAGTCTAAGAGACCTCTGGTGGTGGAATAGTATTTATCCCTAGTGTACAAATGGACTTGGGGAGCCCATTCCACATAGAGTGATACTCTCAGCCTAGACACACAGGGGAGGGCCTAGGCACTGTTCCAAATGATGTGATCCTCCATGGAAGATCCACCATGGAAGGTCTCACCCTCCCTGGGGAGCAGAAAGGGGATGGGATAGGGAATCGGTGGGAAGCAGGGGAGGAGGGGAGGGAGAGGGATCTGGGATTGATATGTAAAACAAGATGGTTACTCACTTAAATTAAAAAAATATATAGAAGGAAAAAAAAAATACTTTCACCAGAAACTTGGCTTCCAAATTGGCCTCTTCAGGAGATAAATGTTTAACTTTTAGGAACTGGAACTTTATCTCAGGTAGAACAGAACACAATATGGGTGGAGTGTACAGGATCAGAAGGACAGAGAGGAAAATTGAAGACATATGTGGCTGACATAACAATGAATTTGTGGGGATGTCATTTATTACAACAATGGAATACTCAGATTAATATTCTCCCAATCTTAGAAACAAACTATAAATTGACATATGTTTCTGGGAAAATATTACAATATATTATAAAAGTTGTACAAGAATAGAGCAAAACAGCTGCTGATCTGTCAAAGACACTAATAGCCCTACCTTTAAAATGGTTGGCAGACAAACCTGTATGGGTTGAGCAATGGCCTTTAACAATAGAGAAACTGCAAGCCTTAGAACAGCTAGTACAGGAGCAACTAAATGCTCAGCATACTGAGGAATCAAACCAATCCTTGGAATTCTCTTGTATTTGTTATTAAAAATAAATCAGGAAAATAGAGAATGGTAGCAGATCTAAAGAGCTGTTAATAAGGTGATACAGCTAATGGGCTCTTTACAGTCTGGAATTTCTTTGCCTTCTCTATTACCTAAAGGATGCTCTCTTATAGTAATTGATTTAAAAGACTGTTTCTTCATTATACCTTTACAAGAAATAGACAGAAAAATTTGCCTTCACAGTTCACAGTGCCTACTTATACTAATTCTCAGCCTCTTAAGAGATATCAATGGCAGAGTCTTCCACAGGGAATGTTAAATAGCTCCACCCTGTGCCAATATTTTGTATATAAGTAATTGGAAATGATACGTAAGCAATTTCCTCAGTCTGTACATGAATAACATTTTACTGTCTGATTCAAATGTAGATAACTTAAAAAGAATGTTTGAAGAAGAGAAATTTGCCTTGTTGAAGGTTACAAATTTTTCCTGAAAAAATACAGAGGAGAGGTGGCTTCCGGTCCCTGGCCCTTTTGCTCAGGCCCGAGCCAGCATGCTCCGCTTGTCCCCCCAGCCCATTGCCTGGAAGAGCCCACTCTCGCTAGAAGAAAGACCATCCTTGAAGAGGATGACTGAGACATTATGGGCCACGCACTTTGTGTCTGCTCCCGGGGAACTGTCATCATTGACAATAAGCGTTACCTCTTCATCTAGAAACTGGGGGACGGTGGGTTCAGCTATGTGGACCTAGTGGAGGGGTTACATGATGGACACTTCTACACCCTGAAGCGAATCCTGTGTCATGAGCAGCAGGACCAGGAAGAGGCCCAGAGAGAGGCGGACATACATCGCCTCTTCCATCATCCCAACATCCTTCGTCTCATGGCTTACTGTTTGAAAGAACGAGGGGCTAAGCATGAAGCCTGGCTGCTGCTACCCTTCTTCAAGAGAGGTACACTGTGGAATGAGATAGAAAGACTGAAGGACCAAGGCAACTTCCTGACTGAAGACCAAATTCTTCCATTGTTGCTGGGTATCTGCAGAGGCCTTGAGGCCATTCATGCCAAAGGTTATGCGCACAGGGACCTGAAGCCCACCAATATTTTGCTTGGTGATGAGGGGCAGCCAGTTTTAATGGACTTGGGTTCCATGAATCAAGCATGTATTCAGGTGGAGGGCTCACACCAGGCCCTAGCTCTACAGGACTGGGCGGCCCAGCATTGCACCATCTCCTACGGGGCACCTGAGCTTTTTTCTGTGCAGAGCCACTGTGTCATCTATGAGCTGACTGATGTCTGGTCCCTAGGCTGTGTGCTTTATGCCATGATGTTTGGGGAAGGCCCTTATGATATGGTGTTCCAGAAGGGTGACAGTGTGGCCCTTGCTGTACAGAATGAACTCAGCATCCCACAAAGCCCCAGGCATTCTTCAGCATTGCGACAGCTTTTGGCCTCTATGATAACCGTGGACCCCCAGCAGCGCCCTCACACTCCTGTCCTCCTCAGTCAGTTGGAGGCATTGCAGCCACCTGCTCCTGGCCAGCACACCACCCAAATCTGACCAGAATCAAGGGGCATGTTGGAAAGATGACCTTGAAGTTTTCATCCCTCATTGGAACACTTTCCATTCTTCCCAGGACGGCTCTTACAGCTAGGGGCAAAGATGGCATGTCCTTGTGTGCTCTGCTCTTATCCCAGTACCTGGGCAAGGAGCCTAGGGTGAGTTGGGGGAAAGTGAAACAGAAAATAGGGCTCAAAGCTGGACTGCTGGACACACATCATGTTCTGCCTCCAAATCTGGGAGCAGGAGAATACATAAACAGGAGAATAAAGTGAAAATAGACCATGAAAAAAAATACAGAGGAGATTTTATTTAAGCTATAAAATAGGTTTACAAAATATTAGACCCCCAAAAGGTACAAATTAAGATTCAATTGCAGATTCTTAATGACTTTTCAAAGATTCTTTGGAGACATTTTCCATCTATAGCCCCCTATTGAGATCAGACCTGATGAACTGATTAATTTAAACAAAACCTTAGACGGTGACAAGGACTTCCATAGTTCCCAGGAGTTATCAGCTGAAGCTGAGAGAGAACTGGCTTTTTGGAAGAGGAATTACAGAAGCACATGTGGATTGTGTGGATCTGAAGCATACCTGCATTCTGGTCATATTACACTCTAAGCATCCCCTACAGGAATTTTAATGCAGAGGGAAGATATTATCTTAGAATTGATTTTTTTATCCACATAAACAGAGTAAAAAAATTAAAAAAACTTAAGTGGAAAAGTTCTCTGATTTAATCCTAAAAGGAAAATTGAGACTTCATCAATCCAGAAGGAATTATAGTATCTTTTAATCATGATGAAACTGACAAATTATGGGCAGAAAGTGAACCTTGGCAAAGAGCCTGCAGTAGTTTTTTTGAAGAGATTAATAACAAATATCTTAAAAGCAAGAGAATTCAACCTATAAAGAGAACTAACTAGATCCTTCCTCACATTGTATGGGAAACACCCATATTTGGAGCCCCTACATTCGATACTGATGCAAGTAAATCAGGAAAGGCAGGTTACAAATCAGAAAATTTAAATAAAGTGGATCTAAGGCCTTGTAATTCTGTCCAAAAGTCAGTATTATATGCTATTCTCATGGTATTAATGAATTTTATGGAACCTCTCAACATAGTTACTGATTAACAATATGCAGAGCTGTTTTCCATATTGAAACTGCTGAATTCATACCAGATGATACAGAATTGACTTTATTATTTATCCAATTACAAGAAATAATCAGGAATAGGAATCATCCCCATATATAAAACACACATTTGATCCCATATGATTCTACCAGGTCCTCCGGCACAAGTCAATGAAGAAATTGATCAACTATTGATTGGAAATGTGATGGAGGCCTCAGAATCTCATTAAAAAACAAAACAAAACAAAACATTATGTCAATAGCAAAGGTTTAAAAAAACTCATTACTTGGCACAAGTCAAGAAAATTATAAGGAAATGTCCTACTTGTTCTTTATACAACCAAACACCATTACCTGCAGGGACTAACCCAACAGGTACTCAAAGGAATGAAATCTTTAAGATGGATGTGTTTCATTTGGTAGGATTTGGAAAACTAAATATAGTCAACTGCTTTGGGTTTTGAAAAGGCCGATTCTTTAATCACATATTTGTTAGAAGTTATGGTCATCTTGGGAATACCTGTGCAAATTAAGACTGACAATGCACCAGCATATGTCTCTCGTAAAATGAAACAGTAAAGTACAAACTAAAAACTCAGCTACAGATATTGGGATTAAAGCTGAAGATCAGAGAAGCAAAGTGGCCAGCCACTAGAAAAGTTCTCACCTCTACCAATGCTCAGACTGAAGGGGCAATCCACTGAACCTCAGACTGCAATGCTCTCCACCAAACTAAGTCTGAGGAGGTGAGGGAGAACACTCTTTTGCAAGCCGCCCAGTGATAGGAGGACTTCCGAAGGCATTCTTGGAAGCAGGAACCTGCTGGTGTTCACCTATGTTGTGAGTTATTTCTCCCTGAATAAACATCTGTTTGGCCTGATTGTTTATCCTGATCCTTATTAAACCGAGATAATGGAGTTTACTTTTTTTGTGGCAAAAGTAAGCCACTGGGTAAGAAAGTGCCCTTGCCTCAATTTCTGACAGTATACTGTTCAAATTGGACCAGCAGAACACAAAAGGACTGCCAAACTTTGCCAAGACAAGGTATGACAGCCCTTCAAAACTCCTGTTCATAGAAGTCTGTCGAAAATTCTAGGCCTTTAGGCCAAAAATAGATGCCCCATTGTTGCAGAGGAACCTTGGCAGCCAGCTGTTTTGTCATTTCTCACATTTTTTGGAAGTCACTTGCTTGTACTTCCTGTTTACTCAGTTATTATTTCCTTCTTGGGTCTCTGAAGGAGACAAAATAATTACAGTTATAATTTTCCTTGTTTACCAGAAAAGTTTAGTGATATCAAAAGGTATTTTTGGATGGTGATTCAAGTTATAATAGAAAGTAAATTAGGTACAGACTTTGGACTTACCAAATTAGGATATAATGGAGTATTTTCTCTGAATTTGTCAAATGCAAATGGATTAGACATTGTTGATGTACTTCTTGCCTGTACATATGGTATATCGTTATTGTACTTATTTCATTGTTTTGTTAAAAAAGATTTATTATGTATATAAGTATGCCTATACACCATAAGATGGTACCATATCTCATTATAGATGGTTGTTAGCCACCATGTGGTTGCTGGGAATTGAACTCATGACCTCTGGAAGAGTAGCCAGTACTCTTTTCTTTGTTTGTTTCTCATTTTTTCGAGACAGGGTTATCTATGGCTTTGGAGGCTGTCCTAGAACTAGCTCTTGTAGACCAGGCTGGTCTCAAATTCACAGAGATCTACCTGTCTCTGCTTCCCGAGGGCTGGGATCAAATGCATGTGCCTCCCCTGCCGGGCTGTAGCCAGTACTCTTAACCTCTGAGCTACCTCTCCAGCCCCATGTAGTTTTTCTTAAACCAGTTATAGCTTTATTTTAGACAAAAAGGGGAAATGTAGTGATATTTTGTTTAACAAATAAAGCTTTCCTGAAGATCAGAGTGCAGAGCTAAGCCAATAGAAGCCAGGGAGTAGTGGCACATACCTTTAATCCCAGGATTTGGGAGACAGAGGCAGAGGGATCTGTTATTTCAAGGTCACGTTGGGCTACATGAGATCGAATCTGTGTAAAAGAGAAACAGAGCTCACACAAAGGTGATCTTGGTGTTGCTCTTTTGTTTCAGTTATAGGATAAAGCCGGAAAAGGGGGAGGGGGTCCCACATCAGGGGATAAAGCTGGAAGGGGTTGACTGAGGCAGAGGGATAAACACACCAGGCAGACAAGAACTTGAGTGAGAAGTTTTATTAGAAAGAGGGGTGAGGGGCAAGCGAAGAGAAAATAGGTAGAGACATAGAGACGGGGGTGGGTGGGGGGGTGCTTGCTTAAAAGGCATACTGAGTCCTTACTTAACTCCTCCCCCCCCAACTCATGATAGCCATGATGTGGCCACACTGGGCATGTGTGTCCCATCCATCGTTTGGGGGCAGGGTCAGCAGAATGGCAGTTTCCAACACTTGGCACTTGGGAATCCCATGCCTTTAATTCAAGCACTAGGGAGGCGGAGGCAGAAGTGATATGGCTAGTTCCAGAGAGGAATATAAGATGGGGTGAGACAGAAGCTCAGTGCAGTATAGGAAGTCTGTGTGAGGGGTCAGTCTAAGGATGCAGTCTGAGGACAGGATAGACCCTTTGGTCTGAGCATTGATATGAAAGACCCCCCACTATGCTTATTGCCTGTTTGAATTGCTCTTGCTAATTTGCCAAGGTCAAGTTATGAGAAAAGTACAGGAGGGAACCAGGTGCTGCTCTCATCCAACGCCAACCAGATATCTGTGGTCTGCAGCTTGGACCAAAGCAAGGTCAGCAGGAATAGAAGGTCCTGGGAGCATTCTATCGAGACCACCATAATTTCCCCACTGGAGGGTCAATGTGTTTTTGTCATTGTTTCACCATTGTGTGAAAACCCCACCCAAACTTAGGTGGATTCATTTAGGTTGAAATAAAGGACAGAGGCGCTTTTGATTTTACTTTATTTGAATGTATCTCATCTGTGGAAAGTAGACTTTAGCTCGGTCACTCTGACTCCTTGGGCCAGCATCTTCCAAAGATAGCAATTTTTAGTTCTATCTTTTGAATTCTATTTGTGTGTATACCTTGGTGATGTCATTGTACCTTCCTTCAGGGGCCTGGTAGTTAGAGATTGGTGGCGTGTGGTGTGGCCCTTCTTTCTCAAAGGGGAATAGGCTGGGGTCCCGCTTTATGGCCTCCGAGTAGAGCTCTGGAGACTCAAGCTTCAGTTCCTGAAGCGCTTCTTGCTGGGCTTCCAGCATGGCTCTGATGGCATCCCTCTCTGCTTCATGTTCCTGCTGCTTGTATAGTGCCCACCTCTTCAGCAGAAGAGCTCTTTGCTCACTCTCCTTGAAAGAATGCTCCTCCTGAGGTCGCTGTCTGTGAACACACAAGTCCAAAGTTGTGACCCGGAGGAGTACTGACTGTGCTGCAGAGGGACCCTTGTGACCAACTGTACATGACTTCACTGCTCAGTGTTAGGTACACCCAGGGTTCAGGAAGATAGTAAACTTGGGAGTAAATAAAGGGCTGGAGAGATGACTTGGAGGTTAAGAGCATTTACTGTTTAGAGACCAGAATTTCTTTTGTAACACCATATTAAATTGGCTCACAGCTATCTGTAGCTCTAGAGGATCTGCTGCTCTCTTCTATCCACTAGAGAATTTGCAATCACATGAACATACAACATACACAAGAACACATAAATAAAAAAAAATTTTTTTTTAAAGATGTATTATGTATACGGTGTTCTGCCTGTATTCTTCAGGCCAGAAGAGGGCTCCAGATCTCATTACAGATGGTTGTAAGCCACCATGTGTTTGCTGGGAATTTAACCCAGGACCTCTGGAAGAGCAGCCAGTGTTCTCAATCTCTGAGCCATCTCTCCAGCTCCTATAAAAAGAAATCTTAAAAGAAGAAAAAAGGAACACAGTATAGAACATGGCAGCAGTTGCTGTCCACCAGCAGCAGAAAAGAGAGCACTCTGAGAGAACTATGGTACCACTGTTTTTGCCCCATACAAAGCCTCCTTTTGGTTAGAAGGGTACAGAAGCAACAAACACCAAAATCTCAGAGACAAGAGCCTAGCTGGTCTGTCTTGGTCCCAACTTGCAGGGCTTTATAAACTGTTCATTCTTCCAGAAGAGCATGAGCTAGCTGCTAAACTTACACATAACACAACTGCAACACATACCAACTATGAACATTTGTAGGAGGGGCTGAGAGTTTTCTACAGTGGTGAGAGGGTGAGAGCCGTGGAGTCAAGGTCTATGTCATAGTTACAATCAACACTCATGGACATGAACACATGACCCTTGGAGCAAAGCTGATCCAAACTCTTGAATGTCTTTCTCCAAACCCCAAAAGCACAATCAAGATGAAAAAGACTTAGACTGGGGGGTCCACCCCACTCACTTGTTCCCATGAGACATGAACTTCAATCAGAACTACTCAAGGGAATTCCTTTGCATTGAGGATGTCAACCCAGAGGAGAGCCTTTACCTTGACTTATCCAAGAACCTCACAGGGGTAATAAAATCCTCAATAGGAATTAGTTCTTGGGTAGCTTTTTCCAGTTTTCGGATCCTCCTTTTTAAGCGATCCTTTGCCGCTTGATCCTTTCTAGGGTCTACCTTCTTCTTCTTCCGTAGAGGTTCTGCTCTAGTGGATAAGAAACAAACACTCAACGCTTCTACTTCAACCTCAGGACAGACATGATGCTAAATGAAGTGCCTACAAGAAAGAGTTATTCACAGTCCTGACTCTATGAGCTCAGTGACAGTTAACTCCAGGAAGCAGCACAAAACTATAGGTACTTACTAAGGGGAAGTGTTAATTTTTTTATTTTAAGATACATTCTCATAACCTTGGCTTGCCTTGAACTAGCTATGTAGTCATGTCCTGGAACTCTGATCCTACTGTCTACCTCCTGACTGCCAGGATCGTCCGTCATTTTCTACCAATCCTTGTATTACAGTGCTGGGGGCTAAACCGAAGGTTTTGTGCATGCTAGTCAAGGACTTAATAAACTGAGCTACAGTCTTTCTCTCTCTCTCTTTTTTTTTTTTTTTTTTTTTTTTTGAGGCAGGGTTTCTCTGTGTACTCACTCTGTAGACCAGGCTGGCCCTAAACTCAGAGAGATTCCCCTGCCTCTGCCCCTGAGTGCTAGGACTAAAGGTGTGCAATACCATGGCCAGCTCTTAGAAGTCTATGATTCAACGATACCCTGAAATTGCCTTGAGAAGTGAACTTACTGAACTATAACCAACTTACTTCAATGGATTAAAAATTCATTCACATTTTAAAAGAATTTGTGCTTTAAAAAATGCTTTAAGCATAAAAGAGACAGGTTAGTAAAAGTGACTGGCCATATCTTATTTACTTCTCAGAATTTGTTACCAATTTCTGGGGTGTTGAGATGGCTCAGTGGTTAAGAACACTTCCTCTTGCAGAGGACCTGTGTTTGGTTTCCAGAACTCAAATGGTGACTCACAACCATCATTAATTCCAGTTCCAAGGGAACTGGTACCCTGCTCGGGCCTCTGCGGGCATCAGGCAAGCAATGTAAACCCATACATGCAGATATAACACATTAAAAAAAATTCCATGTCCTAATTGCTTTAGGAATTTTCTAGTTTGCTTTAAGGTACACATCTCCCAGATATAATTTACCATTAGGAATATGTGATCTGGGGCTGGCTGGAGAGATGGCTCAGTAGTTAAGAGTTCTTGCTACTTTTGAAGACTGGAGTTTGGTTCCCAGCACCCACATCAGAGCCTCATGGATTCCTATAACTCTACAGGATCTGTAACCCCTGTCTGGTCTCTGAGGGCACCTAAAAACATATGTGTATACATATGACAGGCACATATACATAAAAACAAAACACCCAAAACTTGCTGGACGATGGTGGCACATGCCTTTAATCCCAGCACTCAGGAGGCAGAGGCATGAAGATATCTGTGAGCTTGAGGCCAGTCTGGTCTACAGAGCTAGTTCCAGGACAGCTAGGGCTGTTACAGAGAAACCCGGTCTGGAAAACAAAACAAAACAAAACAAAACTCCCAAAACACAGAAATACAGTGTGAGTTCCAGGGAAGCCAGGAGAGAGGCATCTACCTACATTTAATTAACTTGATAAGCTGATCTGCTAACCAAAGGTTGGGCAGTCTTGCTTTGTTTTGGTTGAATGCATGTTGAATTTTACCTCATGGGGATGAGCTCCCAGAAGGACAGCAAGGAAGCTCTCTGGTGGGTGTGTCTGGCCTGTGTCCGGCAGATTCCAGGGATCCTGAAGGAGAGAAGGGTTATGTATAAAGATCCAGAAAGCACATACACATAACTTCAGGACTCCCCAAAACCTGGAGGGCGTTTGCAAGTATTTATTTTGATTTTTTCAGACAAAAGTTTCTGTAATTCTGGGTCTTGCCTAGGGCTGACCCACCATGCCTTGTTCATTTGTATTAGGCTAGCAAAGTCAAAGTGAGTATTTTTCTGAACTCCGTTTCACATTTGGATAGGGCCTCTACTTACCTAAGCAGGATTTTTGCTTTTTCTTTTAAATAGAGTGTAATATTGCCTAGGTTTTACACGTGCTACGGAGCAGTTGATGACCTTGAATTTCTGACCTAGCCTCTAGCCTCTACCTCCAAACTCCGGGGATTACAGGCGTGCGCCGCCACGCCCAATTTTTTTTTTTTTTTTTGGTAATACTAGGATGGAGCCTTGGGCTCCAAACTCCGTAGGCGAGTAGTCTGTTTTACTGAGTTACATTCCCAGTTCAGATTTTCATCAGCAACAACGCAAGCTGCGAGCGCCAGAGCAGCTAGAGGCCGCGCACGCGCCCTGCGCACTTCGCCACCCGCGGCGGCACTCACCTGTTCAGCGACCGCAGAGCCCGCGCAGCGCACAGCACCACAGCGGTAGTCATAGCTTTTCACGCCACCCGCAGGTGGCCAGCTTCCGGGAGCGCGCCCCTGGGCCGTCTGACCTGCGGTACCGAGTAGGGTCAGGCCGCAGCCCGGAACTCTCCGGTCCCGGATTCGGAGAGGCGGGTCCGCTCCTGACCCCGCCCCTGACGCAGCCCCGCCCCGATTGAGCGCGGCTCGCTTCGTAGCGCCTTGTGGCTGGCGTTCCGCCTCCTGTTGGTGCTGCGGTGTAGGCCTGCAGCCCTTGCCCAAGTGTCTCCTGTGCTGGTGTGGCTGCTCTCTGCTTCGCCTGGCCTATGTGTTCACGTCTATTCAAACGCCCGCTCTTCCAATAAATGCCCCTCTACCCCTCCACCGGGTTAGCTCTTTTCGGCACCCATTCGAGCTCAGGGCTGTTGCCGTCTGCCGCTAGCTGCATGCTGGCACCGGCCGGGATGGCGCTCACGAGATGCCTAATGGAGTGTTGATGGGTGACAGAAGCTAGTTACTTAGCTGGACTCGAAGCCGTGGAGGCAGAGCTAAGACTTGGACACTACATTGGTCCCACATCGCCGGGCGGAATCTCGAGCTCGCTAGCCCGTTCACACAGAGCCTCACAAGACACCGCCGGTGCCGGACCAAAAGCGGAGTAGTCTCGCGCTCCCCCTGCCAGCCAAAGAGCCGAGGCGGCCCCGTCCGCGTAGGGAGCGGTTTCCCGCCGGGGCGATTTGGCAGGTGCGCGCCGTGACTTCCGGCGTTGCCCCGGAGCCGCCGGAGGAGGAGCGGCGCAGGGGATGCGGCTGTGGCGGCGGCGGCGGTGGCCGAGCGCAGAAGGCGGCTGTGGCGGCGGCTGGGGGCGCGGGCCGGAGATGGCGCGGCGGCGCTGAGGGCAAGGGTGGGCAGGCGGCGCTGGAGGAAGCGGCAGAGGCTCCATGGCCCAGGCGCGCTGAGGGACACGGCTCTGGCCTCAGCCCGGCGTCGGCCGAACAATGAAGCTCTTGAAGCCAACCTGGGTCAACCACAATGGTGAGTGCGCGCAGGAGTCGTGGGCGGCCAAGCCTGCTTCGGGGTGGGGTCTGGAGTTGGCCTTTGGCGCGCTCAAGCCCAGCCCGCCTTGCCCAGACGCCAGTGCCGGGTGCCGGAGCTGCAGAGCGGGCTGGAGCAGACTTTGTCCTCGGCTCCGGGATACCGGCGAGCCTGGGCACGTGCTTCGGGCTGGTTGCTGTGAATTCCGCCTTCGCTCCAAGCAATGGCGCTGAATCCTGCGCCGCCCACCCCTAGTCTGGAGCGCTGGACGCCTGGCTTCTGTGAGCCGGCCTGGTGCTGCCACCCGGCTTCACCGTCCAATACGTGCTCAGGTGGTTGAGGTGAGTATGAAACTGGGGCGACATCCCCCTTGTGGCCTTTCAGTGGCTCGGTGGAAACCTAGAATCTGCACGAGAGACGGACTGAATGTACTGCCGCTTCTGAGGCCTGGAGCTGCTGACAGTGCCCCCACTCGGGCTATTGCGGCCCTGGGCGCAGGGTCCTTTGGAGGGCCAGGAAAGATCCACATTTAACGCAGGGTCGGGGCTTCAGCGTGACCAAGATCGGGACCAATAGTGCACAGGTTATTTTATAAGAGCGACTTTGGATGTGTGGTAGTGACTTCAAAGAACAGACACACACCCTGGTGGAGAACGCTGATGCAAAGCAGCCGGTGACATCCAGTTTTGTGGAGGGCTACTTGCCTGGAGCCCTCTTCCAGCTGTTAGTACTTGAGTCTCTGGAAGCACCCGAAGGCTGCAGTAGGAAGCGACCACCCTCTGATCAAAGAGAGAAGAGTCTCCCTGATACTGTCTTGTTCTTCGTTTCTACTTTGTAATACATCTAGAGGGAGCTACGGTTATTTCATTTATTTCATTTATTTCATTTATTTATTTATTTATTTATTTATTTATTTATTTATTTATTTTGTAAAGCAAGACGAGTGGATGCAGTTTTCCTTTTTAAAAATCCACGTGGCCTTTTCATTTTGTATTTGGTCCGGGAAGCTTATTACTCCTACAGCCAAATATCTGTGTTTTGTTTGTTTGTTTTTTGTTTTTTGTGTGTTTTTTTTTTTTGTCACAAGCAAGGAGAGTGGTGTGGATATCTGCTCTCTGCTCTTCACGGTATCATTGTGAAGTAGTTGAGCTAAGCATAGAAACATTAACGTTCTCAGCCTAGAAAGTGCGTTAAAAATAAATCTAAGTAAGTGATGGGGAGGGGAAGGTATATGATCAAAATACATTGTATGAAATTTTTTAAAATTAAAAATATTGAATCGACAATTTTTATTAATAATAAAAGATGTTGAGACTTAAGCAACTTCTTTTTTAAATCTAAAGGCAACCTCCCTTTCTAAATTGTGTCTGTTTTGGAGAGGATGCTGTTGAGTCATTACTAAGCAGGCCTTTAAAAATGGCAGTGAGTAGTGGAAGTTGCTTGCTTGCCAGACATTGAATGGTAGTAGCTAGTAAAAACAAGTCTCCTTTTGTATGAATAAATGGCCCTACTGCATTGGAGGGATGCATGATTGTATTTCCTGGGTTTCTCACTCAGTAGTTGTGTTTTCTGTCTCCTTATACAGCATGAACATACTTTTCTGGAGTCTGAGAGTTCAGAGATGGGGGAAAAAGAGAGTGGAATGTTTTCCCAAAGACAACAGGGGATCCACTTAGACAAGGTAGCTAGAAGAGGTTAAAGGAAGAGAGAGAAGTGTTTGTTGGTCTTCATCTTTCTGCCCTAGTACTGAAGAAACCTCTCAGAAAGGATTCTTCCACCTGGGCAGTCACACAACTGTTTCAGGTCCTGTCTTGTATGTTAAGTGACCCTTACTTACCACCTACCACCATAACTGCTCATTTACCTGAACCTGTGACATTGCTGATGTCCACTTGTTAGCCCAAATCACTTCCACTTGAAATGTTCTGGTCTGTGGTCATCAGCATGTTAGTAAATCTTGACATTGTCATTTTGCGATGAAATTTGCCCTGCATGTGGATTTAAACTGAATTCAAGGTAACATCATTTACTAGTTAAGGAGTCTTGCCTTTATTAAGTCTCAGCCTTGGTAAAATCATGTAAAAAAGACATATTTCATCACCTTGTACTCAATATAAATGATTGCCCTAAAGTACAATGCAAAATAACAATTAGTATCCATTGTTTATATCGATGCAGTACACTTTATACACATACAGTTTTGAGATTAATCCTGCTGATTATATTTTATTTATTGAGACAAGGTAACCCTGGCTGTCATAGAATTCAGAGATTCTCCTGCCTCTGTCTTTTACTATTAAAGGCATGCATTATCATACTTGGCCATATAGCTTACATTATTCATGGCCAAAGTAAGTTTCATTTCTGAGTAAGGTTAAGATTATGTATTGGGTGCTAGCTGTGGCATACCTCTACAATTATAGTTTATTGGGGAGGCTGAGGCAGAAAGAGTGACTTAAAGGACTTATCTCCATGTGTGAATGCACTATGTAGATTAGTTGTTCTTGGACAGATCAAAGTCCCACCCATTTAGGAGACAATGCTGAAGAAGGTGAGCTGGGGAAGGAAAGATGATGTGGCTGGGGGATGGGTGGGGGCTTTCTTTTTTGGGTTTGGGGAGAGGAGTGTTGAAATTTCTGAGGGTTTGTATACCTAGCCTGTGTCTTAAGAAGTCCTTGTAGGACTTAGAAGGTGGTCTAAGTTTGAGAGAGAGAGGGAAGAAAATTCAGGGGTAGCGAGATGGAGAGGCACTGATACAGGAGCTTAGCCATTACATGCACGTATTGTAGATTCATGTCATTTTTTAAAAATTTATTTCTTAAGTGTTATGGAGAAAGAAAGATGAGAGATGGGCAGTGGTGCATTTGGAATGAATGTCAAATTCCCTGCTTTATTACCACTCTGTTGCTTACATTCCTGAGACAGGGTCTCTCACTGAGTCTAGAGCTACTCTGGCAACCAGGAAGTCCCAGTGATTGCCCTTCTTGCCCATCTCATCTCCCCTAAACTCGAGTTAACAGGTGGACATTTTTGGGTTTTTATATGGGTGCTAGGGATTTGAATTTAGAACCTCATACTTGTGTGGCAGGCTCTTTTTCATTCATGGAGCCATTTCCAGAGGGCCCCCCCAGTAGAATTCTTTCAGACATTTGTATATTTGTTTGCTTATTATTTGTATGTTTGTGGGCATGTGCATGTGCTTAGTGTGCCAGAGGTCAGTGTTGAGTTTCTTTTGTTGCCCTCTCCCTCTTTCAGACAGTGTTTCTTACAGAACTGGAGCTCATCCTTTGGGCTTTGACTGACTGGCCAGTGATCCCAAGATACCCTGTCTTTGCCTCCCAAGTGCTGGGATTGCTGGTGTGTGTGACACCTGGCTTTTTATGTAGACACCAGTGACAGAATTCAGGCCGTTGTTCTTTCGTGGCAAGCACTTTACCAACTGAGCTCCTGCCCCCCAGCCCCTTAAATATTTATTGAAATCTATTAACTATATGGTGGCTTATGACATTAAACCCAGAACCTAGGAGGCAGGAGGATTGCAGTGAGTTTGAAGCCAGCCTGGGCTATAGATTGAGATCTTTCTCGTATGTATGTATGTATGTATGTATGTATGTATGTATGTATGTATGTATACACACACACACACACCCTCTTTCCAGTCCTGAATGTTGAATCCAGGACTTCATGCAAGGCAAGTAATCTACCATAAATAGATATATAAATTTTTTTTTGTGAGTGTATGTATTTTTCATTTTAGAATTTTAGTCCAATAAATGGTTGAAAATATACTTTAAACTTTATAAGGAGATTCAGAGTTATGCATCTGGGAGGCACACCTGGGCAGTCCCTGGCTCTGACCAGTGAAGCTAAATGGAGGGCCTGATGTCATTGTTCCAATCTTGGTTATTGTGGGTGTCCATGGAAAGTATACATATTGTGTCTATCTTGACCCCACAATTTACCTAGATGTTGCTAGGTAATCCAATTACTTTCAGTATTTACTTATAGATTGAGAAGCCTCGCAAATGACACAAATCTGGACTAAGTCCTGGTATCTAAAAATTGATGCAAAAACATTTTAGTTCTTGCCAAGATCAGC